TTTGTTGTCTTTGGTTATGACCCATTGTGATGTTGGTTATGACTCATTGTGGTGTTAGTTATACCTTAATTATAACTCTCATAATTTTACCCTTAAGGACAGCTTGTTCAAGGAGAAGAAAACGAAGCATATGGAGGTTATTTTCCAACTACTTCAAATTGGACGGCTTGTTCAAGAAGAAGAAAGTGTTGTTGATTTAATGCCTAATAGCTTCTACTCATTTATATGATTCTTTTTTCTTCTTCTAATTCATATATGCATATTATTCATTTTTTTCCCCTCAAGTAGAGTGAACTACTCCAAGTTTGACTTAACTCTTAAATGCCTTCTTCATACTTTGGAATAAATAATCTTTACACAAAAAAACCAAAGTAATCAACAATCATTCTTCTTCTTCTTCTTCTTCTTCTTCTTCTTCTTCTTCTTCTTCTTTCCTTTCTTTTTCTTTTTTTTTTCCCTAGCTATTTATGGGACAGTTTTTCTACATTATATTTGAAAATATAGAAAACAATGCCGACCCTATCTATGAACTTTACAGTTCTCTTAGCCTTTAACTTCTCCAATAATACTACTTGTACCGAAAAATGCATCATAACATTGATGCTTATGTTAATTAAATTTCTTGTTATCCAATTAAGCAGTTATAAATGATGGGCTTACCCATTTATAAAAGAAATTCATCTATAAACATGCTTTATGGATTTAAATGGGTTTCAAGCGGATAAAATCCGATAGTGTGAGTATGAGTTAAGCCACTTTGAAATTTCAACATGTATCAACTTCAAAGTATTTCCTTATTTCCAAGTTATCTAATGGATCTGTTCCACTAAGTCATTATGCGAGAAATTATTATATTTTACTAGAATTTTACGTTAGCTGTGTGTCTAACAAATAACAGAGACTAAATAAATACATAGTTTCAAAAATATAAAAATAGTGAAGAAATTATAGAAAATTATCAAATAGGTACATAGACACGTAGTATTCTGAACCTAATAGATAATTTTTGGTTGTGTGCCTATCTTATCACAAAGAGAAAATGTATGAAAAAATAATTATATGACCCCATACACTTCAAAGGGCAAATCACATAGAATATAAACCAGTCCTATAGAATAATTTCTGCTTATTTCCAATCTCTGTAAATAATTTTATGGTGTTACGCATATAACAATCTTCATAATCTAAAAATGTGAACTATCATGATTTTCACAAATAATAACATAATACAAAAAATAAATAACATACCAGAATCAATATGCGAAACCTTCAAGTGTCCCAAAATTGATTGAACATAAACCTAATAATAATATTAGTGGAAAAATGTTTCTCACTCTTGACCCTCCAGGGAATACGTTATATTCAGAATAATTGATGGGTGATCTAAATATACTTTTATAGGTAAAGATAGGACCAGTTTTCTAATATAAGTATAACTCCACTTGCCCATCAAAGTAGGAGATTTGGAAACTACTCCATCTATTGAGCTTCTCACTCTTGACCCTCCAAGGAATACGTTATATTCAGAATAATTGATGGGTGATCTAAATATACTTTTATAGGTAAAGATAGGACCAGTTTTCTAATATAAGTATAACTCCACTTACCCATCAAAGTAGGAGATTTGGAAACTACTCCATCTATTGACCAATCAGATAATAACTTGTGGTTCAAGATATGGAATTATAATCTTATTAAATCTATAATTCATATTGCCATATCATGTGGGTTACCATAATGACTACATAATTAAATTTAGTCTTACATTCTCCCACTTGGCCCATATGATAACATACATCAAGATTTAATAAGGTAAACATTAGGCACGCAATAAATCATATCCAACCTTACTTTAATTTGGTCATCATCATAATACTATAATTAAATAGTTCATTAATATGAGTCATAGCGATTCTACACCAATAGTGCGACATGGTCCCTTCCATGTACCCCAAAACTAGCAACTAGTTTAATATAGTCCTTAAGTAAGGAGTGTATTTAAAAGGTCCAAAATGTATTTTTATCAAAGATTATTCCTTTTTATCATTCCTTCGTTCTCATGTATGTACATACACCATTCATAACAGAAAATATATCAGAAGCACAATTAATGAGATCTCAATGTGTCAATTGTGATGACTAGTTCGAAAACCATCTCGTTTTTATTTAAGTTATGTTAGATAAGTTGTTGTTGGAAACTCCTTAAAATTTTTGGTAGTATTTGTTTCAATTCCGAGTTTTCACTCGTTGTGGAGGTGCAAGGTCGGCTCCAGAGTGTCGGGAGTGAAGCTGAGGATTTTTCGAGCTAGAGGGCCAAGGCCGCATGTGCGGGGTCTTGGGCCGCGCGTGCAGGAAACTGGGAAAGGCTGTGTGCAACACTGCATTATATGCAGGTGCGGGAACGACTACACGTGCGGGGGTGAAAGCTGCATGTGTAGGAGGCCGCTCTGCACGTGCGGGAGAAGGCACCACACGTACGACCAAACGCATGTTCAGTCTCGTGTTTCTTGCATTTCAACTATGTATTGCACATGTTGCCTCATTTTCACTCATTTCTGATTATATCTCTCTCTCTCTCTACCCAAAACCCTCAAAACTTTGCATTTTCTTTTGATCTCAAGAATCCATTGGGATTTTGGTGCATGTTCCTTATACCAAGATGACGAGCATGCCGAGAGCTTCGTTTTGACCGGTGGAGATCGAATTCTGGCGAAGTTGATTTTTGGACTTTTCTCCTCTTCTCTCTTTGAGGTAGGGATTTCTTTGATCTTTTTTAATACCTTGTCTATAGATAGAGAAGTCGTAAGTTTTTATTACATAAAAACCATGTTGTTATGGATTTTTTTTCAAAAATCATGATAGAGGATCTCAGATTTGGTAGTTGAGATTGAAATTTTGTGAAATTGGTTGTTGTTTGGGTTAAATTAAGGAGTGGCTAACATGTTTATGTTGAGAAAGAGGTGAAGCCTTAAATTTTTCTTTTTATATAATGCCTAATAGATAAAAAGGGTTGAAATTGCGAAATAATCATGTTATCCATTAAGGAATTTGATGAATGATTTGGTAATTGATTTGATATTAAATTAGGTCTTTTGATTTTAGTATTAACTTTGTGTTGGGTTGATTATAGTTAAATATAACGAATTGGCAGTTTGTTAACTGTTAAAAAAGGGATTTAACCATGAGATTAGAATTATAGGGTTACAGTTTCGTTAAGTAGAAATTGAGTGAATTATGACTTTGTTATCCATGATTGGATTCTTTGTTTTGTTTTTTTTTTTTTTTTTTTAAATGAAGGAAATTGAGTTTTGTTGAAGGTATAGTTGGTGTATGGTAAATTGGGAATTGTAGAAATTGACCTTGGAAAGGTAGGGGTAATTATAACTCTTTTGCAAATTAAATAAAAACCTTGGTGAAAGTTGGAAACCTTGGAACATTATTGTGTTGTGGACTTAATGCCTCATGACAATTGGATGATTGTATTACATGTAGTGAATACATTTTGTTTAGAGGTTTTGCCCTTGGTCATCGGTGGAGGATGACATTGTGATGTTGAAATGATCATGTGAATGTAGTGCACTCGAGTTAATTATACTTGTTGTATAAAGTGATGGTTGGAAAATGTGTATTGCGTTGAGAATAAGACGTACCATTATCTTCCAGCTAGCGCCTGGAGAATTGGCAGAGGTACCATTACCTTCCAGCTGGTGTATAGTAAATTAGCATTTCATTGTGGATTGTGATGGTTATGTTTCTAGAAGACCGAGTTGCCTCATTTTCTGAGTAAATAGTCGTTGGTTGCTTGTTGTTTCCTTTTGTACTTAAGGTATACATGTATAGATACGAATGTGTTGGAAACGGACGTAAATACTATATTGAGATTGTATGAAATGTGAAGGATATCGGATACTTGTGAACACGTTTTGAAAAGTCAAATCCGGTGCAAGTCTGGAAAGTGGGAAAAAGTGTAAAAAGGTTTTAGTGAAATTCTTTCTTTCAAAAATTTGTTATCGTCATATAAATTTTGCTGAAAAGGTAATAAAAAGAAAGAAATGTGAATTGCTTACATTATGGAATGAAATGAATGAATTTGAGAAAAGTACTTATATGCGTATATTTATGTATAAATCATCACATTATTTATACAGTATAAGACTAAGCATTCATGATCATAGCTATCTGTAAGTTGTTATTGTTTAGGATCATGTTAAGATCCCTACTGAACATTGTCTTCATCCCACATTACTAATCCTTTTTCAGGTGAACATCGAGAAGTGTTTCAAGGTCATGGATCATCTTTACTTGTTGGCCATGGTGCCTTTTATTTGTGGGTGGAATGCCATTGATGTAAAAGGGTTAAACCCTCTTTCTACTTTTTAAGATGTAAGCCTTCAGGCAATTTATTTAGATATACTCCTGTTACATTCATTTTATATTCGAATGAGAGAATTTGAATTATTCCCCCTTGTGATGTGAGGATGCTCCGCATGTTGTCTCTGAAATTGATTTAATTTAATTAATTTGGTAATGTTTCCCGAGTAATAAAATGTGGGGCGTGACAACTTGTTATCAGAGCGAGCCGGGTTTGAATACCTTGGGCTCGTGGGAAGTGGTTTTTACCACAAAGGGTTATTAATGTTTGGTGAGGACGTTGTGTATAGTTAGGATAAATGTTAGGACTTATATGTTGCTTTTATGTGAGCATGGGATTAAGTTTCTTGGATAGTACTTGTAGCTGGTGAACTTGCTTTGAGGTCCTATTGGAAACACGCCTGATCAACGTGGTTTCTAATAGGAATTGCTTGAGAGTTTTGAGACGAGTGGCTATCTTTGTGGTCTTGATTTGATTATGTGTTTAGATGTTTAGATTGTTTATATGCATTGGGAATTGTATGTTTTGGAGTTTAAGTGTGTCTTATTGCTTAGTGGTGGTGAGTGTGTGCCTCCGGGAGACTATTGCGATGTGCACTAAGTTTAATTTTTTTTAGGGATTTTATAGGATGTCTACACGAGGGAATAGAGGACAGATGGGAAGTAGGAGTGTTAATAAGGGCACGATGGTTCCCTTAGCACCTATCGTTGTAGCATCGGCTGTCAGGGAGAAAGTTGCACGCGAGATTGTGAGAGCGATGCAAGGTGCTCTAGCTCGCAATGAGGGGGACAACGGGCGTACCCTCAAGCTTACTAAGAAGTTTCTTCCCTCCAATCCACCGGAGTTTTTGGGGGAGGCAAAACCACTAGAAGCGGAGAGTTGGTTGGAACAGATTACCAAGACTCTTGATTTGCTCAGAGTCGAGAACGAAGGGTTGAGGATTTCTTTGGCAGGTTTCCAATTGAAAGGAGATATGAATCATTGGTAGAAGTATGCTAAGAACATGTAGATGCCACGTTGGTTGCGTTTACCAAGGTCTTTTTGGCCAAGTATTTCCCTCCTTCTGCTCAGGAAAGGTTGAGAAAAAAGTTTGTTGAGTTGCGCCAGGATGCTATTGCTTTGGCTCAGTTTGAGATGAGGTTCACTAGTTTGTCAAGATTTGCTCCAGAGTTGGTGGCAACAGAGGAGCGCCGTTGTTATGAGTTTGAGAGACGATTACATGATGATATCCGGGAGAAGGTGATTGGATCTTTGTGGAAGAATTATTTTGCTTTAGTCAAGGCAGCAGCCCATGTAGAGGCCATGGTTAGCAGTGCTGGTCGAGTTAGGGAGGAGGCTACTTTGGTAACTCCTACGGTTCATAAGCACTTTAGGCTTAGTAAGACGAGGAGGCGAGCGCATGGTCACTCCCAGACTCAATTCTCATCTTCATCAGGGGTTTCAAACTCGCCCATCGGGAGACCCAGTGATGTTCGGGCTCCAATCTAGATTTAGAGTTAGGAGACTACCGTTTTTTTAAATTGTGGTCAGTAGGGCCATGTTAGACATTTCTACCCTTTGCGTGTAAGTTCTTCAGGTGTTTCAGAACATAGTCGGACTCTATCCCATCAGTCCAGTTGGGGACGATATCAGTACCAGACCCGAAAATGAGAGGCTTCGGAAGCTTCGCGAGGGTCAACTTTTCAATCAGCACATTAGTATTACCCCCCCCTAAGAAGGACTTTCGTTATTGATCGGTGTTAGAGAACTATGTTATAAATTGTGAAACTCTCGTTGTTGATCGGTGTACTGTGAGATGTTGGGGCACCGTGGTTATATGTTGCATATGTATATGTACTGTTATTTGTTTACCCTCATGTGTTGGGGCATATAATGAAACTTGAACTCTCTGTTTTGTTTATGTAATGAAAGGTTGTTAATGGGATTGATGATCCTAGTGTTGTTGTCTATCAAATGTTGAATTATGAGGTGGTCAGGTGATGGCCTTTGACCCTTGTTCAGTTTGGGATCTGTTTGTGAAAAGTGAGAAATCCGTGAAATCTTTATGATTAGTGTGGTGGTTTGATAAGGGCCAAATTATAAGGCTTTGAATGTGTTGAGTCTAAGGGAAATGGGAGACCTTAGAGTTTTGTGAAATTGGTGGAAGTTATGTGGGAATGTCTAAGAGAGTATGAGATTCATATCTTGGCATAGTGGGAATGGCATTTGTGTGTGTCGTTTAGTGTCTTAAGTTGTTGATTGGTGAGTTCATTGTGGTCCTAGCGATCGCAAATAGGGACAGTGTTGTGCCCTGGTCAGTTATGGGTTTGTGATGTTATTAGGTTTTGGGTGGAGTTTTGAGTGGGAAAGGAATTTCATGGGTAGATGCACGAAATATTACTAGAATGATGGATGGTTTGTGTTCTTAGGTAACGAGTGTATCATTGATAAGAATTGTCTTGTGTGACAGGGATCGTGTGATCGGCATTGACCTATTCAGACTTGTGTTGAAATATAAGGGCGTGTTTGCCATCTAAGTGTAAGATTAGAAATTTCTTTGAGAGCAATAATGGTGTAGTCTGTTTTGAGGAATCCAAGGAGATTCTAGAAGTGTGAGGAATAGTGTTTGGCACCCTGTCTTTGGGTAAACGAGGCGGGGAGAGAGAGTGTAGATGTTTGAATGTTGGGAGTGGAAACTCTTGGGTAATTAGTCAGTTGATTTTTTATCAAGGTGAGTGACAAATAGTCACTTTAGAATGGTTTAGATGTGGGTTGTATTTGGGGGCGTTGAGCCTCGCTTATGTGAGTGTGGTTATCGATGTGCCCTTCTCAGTGTAAGCTTTTGAAAACCCGTGAATCGGGGTAAAGTGGTATCTTCTTGGTTGGGAACACTTGTAAGCCTTCGTGTATTGATGGCCTATTTCATTAGTGTTTGTGTTGGTGTGAAACTTTCAGAATTTGGAAAGTCATGCATGTTGTATTATCTCTTTTGGCACTGCGTTTACGTCTAGTTGTTGTTGTTATGGAAATATAATTGTCGCATTTTGAAGTCACAGTAAGTATGAAGGATGTGATTGGGTAATGGCCGGGATTCACCAATTGTTTGTTGAGAAGATAAATTGAAAAGTGATTGTTAGCTTTTAAAAGCTTTCATGGCAGTTCTATTTCAACTAAAGCCCTTGGGGTGAGATTTTAAGGTTTGTTTTGGGAAAATGATTACAAAAAAAATTGGTTTTACTTGAAGTTTATGACATGAATCTTTTGTTGGAAAACTGTGTGTATTTAAGTAAACTTTGAGAAAAAAGTATAAATCAGAAAAAGAGTCTTCTTTTAAGATAATATGAAAAACCCTCATTTTAACTAGTTCATGCAACCGTTTTGTTACCTAGTGTGGATGATAACTTGTGTTGGTAATAATAATGGTCATGACTGAATGAAATTGAGTGATTATGGTATTTTGTGTTGACGGAACAGTTGTTATCTTTGTTAACTATTACTGTGGAAATGTTATGCTGATGTTGGCTGTGACATCACATGTGAGTAATGGGCATTGTTGGGTGACGGTAGAGACTCACCAGTAGTTATATTGGAACAAAATTGAAAATAAATAAAAATTTGGGTCTTGCTTGAAAGGCAGAAAATGTATTTTTGGCTTGTGACCGGTGTGAGTTTTGAGCACCTTTAGGAAAATGTTTTACATGCAAAGAAATGATTTTTACCAAGAACCGAGAAAATGATGAAAAATTTTCTAGAGATTGAGTTGTTCGTTATTATACCTTTATGGTTGAGAGGGTGTAACAATTTTATTTGAATTGCTACTTTTGGTTCTGCATATTTGGTTATGTGCGTCGATTGGCGTAGTATGGGCTTGTTATGTCGGAGTTTTGTCTTAAGCCGGATTCTGTTGTAATCCTTTCCTTTTGGGTGAGTTAACCAAGGGTCCTGTAGTGAGAGCTTTCTTTCCTTTATGTTGGGGTGTTAAGCACTCGGGAGTGCTTGGACATGTTATGGTGGTTGTCTTCTGGTGGATGCCTTGGGCATACGAGATGTTGTCGTTGTTGTTCTTGTCTCATAGGCCCAGCAGGTGGTACGGGTTGAAGAGACATTCGTGAATTTTTTCTTGTGTCCTTGGTAATTCGGGTGTTTTTGGCGCTCCGAGGTGTCGAACCCAGAGTCGGGAGGGTATTCCAATGTTTTGATGTGGCCTGGAGTTGTGTGTATTTCCTTGGTAGGTTGGGAGGTCTTCCTTGGTGTCGTGTTTTCTTCACGAGGTGTTGACCTTATTCCGACGTTTGTTAAATTTCGGGGACGAAATTTCCTAAACTGGGGAGGTTGTGATGACTAGTTTGAAAACCGTATCGTTTCTATTTAAGTTATGTTAGGTAAGTTGTTGTTGGAAACTCCTTCTCAAAATTTTCGGTAGTATTTGTTTCAATTCTGAGTTTTCACTCGTTGCGGAGGGTTTGAGGTCGTCTCTGGAGTGTCGGGAGTGAAGTCGAGGATTTTCCGGGCTGGAGGACCAGGGTCGCATGTGCGGGAAATTGGGAAAGGCTGTGTGCAACACTACATTATATGCAGGTGCAGGAGAGACCGCACGTGTGGGGGTGAAAACCGCACGTACAGGAGGCCGCTCCGCACGTGCAGGAGAAGACGCCGCATGTGCAGCCAGACATGTGTTCAGCCTCGCTTTTCTTACATTTCAGCTATGTATTGCACATGTTGCCTCATTTTCACTCATTTCTGATTATATCTCTCTCTCTCTATACAATCTTTTTCTCTTTTTCTCTCATCTCTCTCTACCCAAAACCCTCAAAACTTTGCATTTTCTTTTGATCTCAAGAATCCATTGGGATTTTGGTGCTAGTTCCTTATACCAAGATGACGAGCATACCGAGAACTTCGTTTTGACCGATGGAGATCGAATTCTGGCGAAGTTGATTTTTGGACTTTTTCCTCTTCTCTCTTTGAGGTAGGGATTTCTTTGATCTTTTTCAATACTTCGTCTATAGATAGACATGTGGTAAGTTTTATTGCATAAAAACCATGTTAGTATGGATTTTTTTTCAAAAATCATGATAGAGGATCTTAGATTTGGTAGTTGAGATTGAAATTTTGTGAAATCGGTTGTTGTTTGGGTTAAATTGGGGAGTGGCTAACATGTTTATGTTGAGAAAGAGGTGAAGCCCTAAATTTTTCTTTTTATATAATGCCTAATAGATAAAAAGGGTTGAAATTGCGAAATAATCATGTTATGAATTAAGGAATTTGATTAATGATTTGGTAATTGATTTGAGATTAAATTGGGTCTTTTGATTTTAGCATTAACTTTGTGTTGAGCTGATTATAGTTAAATATAACGAATTGATAGTTTGTTAATTGTTAAAAAGGGGATTTAACCATGAGATTAGAATTATAGGGTTACACTTTCATTAAGTAGAAATTGAGTGAATTATGACTTTGTTATCCATGATTGGATTCTTTGTTTTGTTTTGTTTTTTTTGTTTTTTTTGTTTAAATGGAGGAAATTGAGTTTTGTTGAAGGTATAGTTGGTGTATGGTAAATTGGGAATTGTAGAAATTAACCTTGGAAAGGTAGGGGTAATTATAACTCTTTTGCAAATTAAGAACCTTGGTGAAAGTTGAAAACCTTGGAACATTATTGTGTTGTGGACTTAATGCCTCATGACAATTGGATGATTGTATTACGTGTAGTGAATACATTTTGTTTAGAGGTTTTGTCCTTCGTCATTGGTGGAGGATGACATTGTGATGTTGAAATGATCGTGTGAATGTAGTGCACTCGAGTTAATTATACTTGTTGTATAAAGTGATGGTTGGAAAATGTGTATTGCACTGAGAATAAGAGGTACCATTACCTTCTAGCTAGCGCTTGGAGAATTGGCTATGCTAAGAATGAGAGGTACCATTACCTTCCAGCTAGCACCTGGAGAATTGGCAGAGATACCATTACCTTCCAGCTAGTGCTTGGAGAATTGGCAGAGGTACCCTTACCTTCCAGCTGGTGTATGGTAAATTGGCATTTCTTTGTGGGTTGTGATGGTTATATTTGTAGAAGACCGAGTTGCCTCATTTGTTGAGTAAATAGTCGTTGGTTGCTTGTTGTTTCCTTTTGTACTAAAGGTATACATGTATAGATATGAATGTGTTGGAAACAGACGTAAATACTATATTGAGATTGTATGAAATGTGAAGGATATCGGATACTTGTGAACACGTTTTGAAAAGTCAAATCCGGTGTAAGTTTGGAAAGTGGGAAAAAGTGTAAAAAAGTTTTAGTGAAATTCTTTCTTTCAGAAATTTGTTATCGTCATATAAATTTTGCTGAAAAGGTAATAAAAAATAAAGAAAGGTGAATTGCTTACATTATGGAATGAAATGAATGAATTTGAAAAAAGTACTTATATGCGTATATTTATGTATAAATCATTACATTATTTATACAGTATGAGACTAAGCATTCATGATCATATCTATCCGTAAGTTGTTATTGTTTAGGATCATGTTGAGATCCCTATTGGACATTATGTTCATCCCACGTTACTAATCCTTTTTCAGGTGAACATCGAGAAGTGTTTTAAGGTCAGCGATCATCTTTACCTGTTGGCCACGAGACCTTTTATTTGTAGGCGGAATGCCATTGATGTAAAAGGGTTAAACCCTCTTTCTACTTCTTAAGATATAAGCCTTCGGGCAATTTATTTAGATATACTCCCGTTGCATTCATTTTATATTCGAATGAGAGAATTTGATTTATTCCTCGTGATATGAGGATGCTTGTTATCTCTGAAATTGAATTAATTTAATTAATTAGGTAATGTTTTTCGAGTAATAAAAGTGGGGCGTAACATTAACTAACACAATCAATCATAAACAACTATTATGGATTACTTTCAAGATCCATTCAATAGTCAAGTTTCTGAATTGTCTTTAAGAATAATCCCTTCATCAATAGATTTGCCCTTAAAAGTTATATACTTATGTATTTTATTGACACTTTCTATTTCTGAAATTCTTTTTTAATGACAAAGTATTTCAATTCTTGTGTTTAACATCATTAGAATACTTGTCATTCTAAGAAAATAAAACAATTGTGAAATTATCACAATAAATTCTCAACAACTTGGCAACAAAAGTCGACAATTCCAAGTCTTGAGATAAGTTCCACAATAACAATTCATGAATTGTGGTTTCAAAGCACACCACAAATTCAAATTTCATATGAGATATTTATTATTGTTCATTTTACACTTTTCGTGATATTTCTTCTTCACATAATAAGAACAAATAATCAAAAGTGAAGTTTCTACTATCAATGCATCCTTCAAAATCTAAATCTAAGTAACCAATCAATTCAAGATTATCAGACCTCATAAATGTGAGCAAATAATCCTTTATTTCTTATGATTACCTTATCACTTCCTTATTTGAGCATTTTGCTTCTTACAATAAATGTATAAAGAATCGTTTCCATTCCAATTGATTTTATAAAAAAAAATTTCTTTTCCATAAGACTAGATTTATTTCCTTTCGAAACATTGATAACTTTATGTGAATATTCTTTTTTTCTGAATCTTTATAGAACTTTTAATATATACATTCTGAGACAATCTCAACAATTTATGTGATTCAATCAGAAATATTTCAATTTCTATCACATAGATTGTTTTACTAATATATTTCATTTCAAAGTTCTTAAAGAGAAATTTCTTAACTCTTGAAATAAATCACGTATATTATTGACAAGAAAAATATCATCAACATACAAAATCATAAATATAAACTTGCTCCCACTAATCTTTGGATATGTACACTAATAAAAAATGTTTTCTTTAAATCCAAAGAAAAAATAGTATCATAAAACATAAGATACAATTTTTAGAAAGTTTGTTTAAGTCCCCAAATTGATTTCTTAAGTTTGCAAGTCACATTTTCATTTTCCTCAATAGAGAAAGCTTTGAGTTGATCTACACAAAATTCTTCATCCAAACTCTGTTTTAGAAAATTAATTTTCACATACATTTAATGCAACTCAATATCTTGATGAGTTACTAATGCCATGATGATTATTAAATCAGCCCTTTAAGATACAAGTAAAAAGGAAATATCTCATTATAATCAATGTCTACTTTCTGAGTAAAATCTTTGGCCACATATCTAGCATTATATCATTTTATATTCAATGAAATCCCAAATTTCATTATGTTCCATTGATTTCAACTCATCAATCATGACATCAATTTATTTAATAGAATCAATACTTTCTATGGCTTGTGACAACAAAACCGAGTCTTTACTTATCCCAATATTATAATAAGATTATTATAAATATACTACATAATCATTCAAAATAACAAATCTCTTTACCTTATGAGATCTTCATAATATTATTTTTTGTGGTTCTTCTACAACTTTTCATTGGTGATAATTACATGATGGAGTAATTGATTATTCATTTGTTATTCTAAGACATTAAGTTGTTTAACAACTATAGGAACGATAATTTCCTTCAAATTATGGGTAATGATACTTGTACCCAAACTTATTGAATAATCACATTTCATGATTTATCACTCCTACTGATTTCATCATTCTTATTAAATTTGATATTATCGGTTTTTGCAATTCTTGTACTATGGCCAATATAGTAAAACTAATACCCTTTAAATTTTCAAGATAATCAACAAAATAATCACTAATTATTCTAAATTCCTTTTTCTTTTCATGTGGATCAAAAATTCTAAATTTGTAGACAACCCCAAACATGCATGTGTCTTAAGTTCAGTTTCCTTGAGTGTTTAGGACTGCCTTACTAGGAACCCAATTCTATATGAAAACAATAGATCATAACGACATGCATCCACAATGTTATGGGTATTTAGAAATTATTTAACATACTCTTAGTCATATTCATTAGAGTACAATAATGTTTCTCAACTACATCATTCTGCTGAGACATTATGCCTTTCATAGAGTTTAGCAAATAGACTTTCACTTATACCAAATAGAAACCGACTTGTACTTTTGAAAAAATTATAATTTTTAAAGTATATCTTTTAAATTAAATTTTTTTAAGATAAAATTACTACTAAAAAAACTTACACGTCTTATCAATGTTAAAAATGTGATTTCATTTTTTTAGTAGATTTTTATTTTATTTTTACTTTATTTTAGTTTTCAAATCCGTTCAAAATAAAATAGTAAAAAAAATTTTTAGTACTTTTCAAACAATGTGAGAGTTTCTTACAAAAAATGATTTTTTAATAACTAAACAAGTCAAAACCAAACTTTCGAATTTTTTCTTAACCAATAAAAAGAAATTACTATTTTTGTTTTTAGTTGAAACCAAAGAGATTATAAAATAAAATATATCTTTTCAATCTTTTTAATAATTTGATTTTCCATCGGAAAAAAATCTCCATTGATCCCCATCTCTCTCTCTCTCTCAAAAAACCTTCTTTGAGCTTGAAGAACCCTAGCTTGATTCTATGTAGTTTCAGGCATCAGAGGTCAATTTCCCAACTTTCATACTGATTGTGTTAGTTTTTACTTCAAAGTCTTCAATATTTGTTGTAAAATTTCAATAGGGATTCAATTTTTATTTTATTTTCATTTTATAAAAAAAAAAAAGGAAAAAAGTTGAACTTGTTTCTCAAAAAACCTTCTTTGAGCTTGAAGAACCCTAGCTTGATTCTATGTAGTTTCAGGCATCAGAGGTCAATTTCCCAACTTTCATACTGATTGTGTTAGTTTTTACTTCAAAGTCTTCAATATTTGTTGTAAAATTTCAATAGGGATTCAATTTTTATTTTCATTTTCATTTTATAAAAAAAAAAGGAAAAAAGGTGAACTTGTTGTTTTCTGTTAAAAGTATGTTTATTTATTTCATTTATATTTGGTTCAAAGTATTTTTTATTTTTTTTTAGTTTTGCCAACAATTCATTGAAACACACTGCTGCCTAAAATATGCTATTTGTTGTTATTGTGTTTGTTTGTTTGTTTGTTTGTTTTTGTTATGGAGCGATATTATAAAAGAAAATCGAGCGCAAAATCATCATCTTCACCAATTCATCACAAGTCTCCAAAACAGAGTCGTATAGAAATCAACTTGCTAGACCTTCTTGAAGATTCAGGGCTACGACCTCAAGTTACGGATTATCATCTTAGTATCTGAGACTAAGTTCGTAGGGCGCACTTATTAAAAGGCCCTTGTTAATAGTTGCGGAGCCACATGGAGACTGGGAGGGGGGGTCACGTGCCCCTCCTGGGTTTTGAATTTTCATTTTTTTTACATATGTATATAAATAAAATTTTAAACAAAAACTATATAATAAAATGTCAATGGCATTTTTAAATTTATGAGAACAACAGTAATTTTTTTATTGAAAATAAAGAAACTATAACAAATTATATTTTCATGTATGAAAATTATGTGAACAAATTTTAGTACAAGGGTAATATCCATCATTATCTCACTATATATATAAAAGTTTTTTTTTTTTTTGGGGGGGGGGGGGGGGGAAGGGGGGGGGGGTAAATAAGTCATAAATAAAAACAGAAGATATACACAAATACAAGGTGCATGCCCCAAGCCCTAACCCCAACATATATATAAAAGTTACTAGAGTGTTAGTTAAATTTGCATGTAGAGTTCACCTTTCATATGCTGCTTTACTATTGATTAGTAATATCATATGTCAATGATGACGTGATATCACTATTACATGAAATTTTTACTCAAATTTTGTAAAATTTTTATTCATCTTACCATTATATAATTTATTTTAAGACTTACATATATGATTTTTTTTTGTACTTAATATTAATTCAAAAATTATTATTATCTTCTTATTATTGTTGGTTATGGAAAAAAAATTGAAATTGTAATTAATAAGTGCCCCTTTTGATTTAGTTTTCTAACTTCGCCACTGCTTGTCAGCCTCGTAATCACAATTTTCCATGAAGGAAAATCGAGCAATCATCAAGAAGGTTTAACCCTTCATGGTTTGATGAATTTGGTAGTTGGTTGGAGTATAACATAGTTAAAGATGTTGCATTTTGCCTTTGTTGTTACCTTTTTATACCCGTGGTAGGAAACCAAGAAGGTGGTAAGTTTTTTGTTGTTGATGGGTTTTCAAGTCGGAAGAAGAAAGAATGGGAGGTGTTAACAGCTCTCACTGTCAAGCTTGGAGAAAATGTCAATACTTACTGAATCAAAAGAAACATATTGAAACAATTTTCTCCAAGCTACCTGATGAAGCCAAGGGTGATTATAGAGTTCAATTGATTGCATCTGATTTCTTTTGCGACAAGGGATTCCATTACATGGGCATGATGAACTTGAAGATTCAAGCAGCCAAGGAAACTTTCTTGAGCTTTTGATGCTTCTTTCATATCAAAATGAGACTCTCGGAGTTGTTTTGTCAAAAGATGTTCCTGAACACCTTAAGTTGACAACACCTAGTATTCGAAAGGATATTGTTAACACCATTGCAGTTGAAACTACCAATGCTATTGTTAGAGAACTTGGTGATGGCATGTTCTATATTGTCTTTGATAAATCTTGGGATGCATCAATGGAGAAGCAAATGATTGTTTCTTTGAGATATGTGGAGAGTAGGGGATATGTGATCGAGCATTTTTTTGGGTATTAAGCAAATTACTAGTTCTAGTGTTCTTTCACTTAAGAAGGCAGTTGAAGCCTTATTTTCTACACATGGCTTAAGCATATCTAGGTTGTGTGGACAAAGTTATGATGAGGTTAATAATATTGATATGCAAAGTGATTTCAACAAACTCACGACACTTACAATGGAAGAGAATGAAAGTGCGTATTATGTTCGTTGTTTTGCTCATAAACTCGAATTAACTCTTGTGGAGGCAGCAAAGAGTCGTATCCATATTGAAACACTCTTTTAGATGGTTTCGAAATCTTAAGTAATGTGTAGAAATAAACATCACTTCAAAAGCTTTACCCTTGTTGCTGTATTGAGTTCTACAGCTTTGCTAAGTTGTTTAGTTCTCTTAATGTCATCACTCCTTTTTGTTTCTTTTCTTGCATAATGTAGCAACCTTTTAATATTTTCACTTTTTGTATGTAGGTGCTTTTAAATTATATTTTAGTCAAACTTGGCCTTGCTAAGTTTTTTAACTTTGAAATGCAATCTTACAAGTTACAACTCAAACCATTCCCCTTCTTTCATTCTTAATCATTTTTGAATGATAGAATTGTTGGCTACTTGATAGAGAATTTGCATATGGAAAATAATGATGTGTTACTCCTTTGTAAAATGTCGCCAAGTTTGCTTTTTGAGAGGTAGAAACATTATCAATTCAATAGCCGCTAAGGGATCACACTGGAGATATTGACTAATGCTTGTTTCTATTGAGAAGTGGGAATTTTGTGATTAATTACAGTAGGAAAATGGCGATATGGAAAGTATTGAATGGAAATGTCGTTCATAAGCAAGAAAACAACCTTGGAATTAATAGCTAATTGTATATGACAGTGTTGGAAGAATAAAGGAAACTTGGCACACACTACCTAATTAAGTCAACAATCTTACATTCTTAAATAGTTTGTACCTCTCTTATTTATAGCTTTAGGTTTGCCATTTTTTAATTCAACAACTTAACATTAAAAGTAAAGTAAAATGACATTAAAATACTATTTTTTTTTTAAATTTTAAACTGCACATCTCAAAATAATATCATTTTCTCATTTGAGAACATATTATTTTATTAATTTTTTGACTTTTTACAAAAAAATATGTAGAAAAATAAAGAGAGTAATGCAACAACTTATAATAATTTTTTGAGTTTTTGACTAAAACTAAAAATTTCCAAATGAAACTAGTTTAAGCTTTTAAGATATCTGCATCCACGTCTCAAGATCTACTAGAGGTTAAACAACTCACCCACTTTGACATTTCTAAAAACAATTTGAATGGAAGGATACTAGAGATTTCTATTTATTTATTTGGGAAGAGTTAAAAAAGCCAAAAGTCAACTTTTAACCTATTTTGGATTATATCACCTCTCATATCTTTTACACATTTAAAAAAAAAATCAAAAAAATCAACTTTTAACAGTCTTTTCAAAATAGGTGTTCATTTGTATAAACATTGGGTAATGAGTTTTTCCTAAAAATTTCCAAATGAAACTAGTTTAAGCTTTTAAGATATCTGCATCCACGTCTCAAGATCTACTAGAGGTTAAACAACTCACCCACTTTGACATTTCTAAAAACAATTTGAATGGAAGGATACTAGAGATTTCTATTTATTTATTTGGGAAGAGTTAAAAAATCCAAAAGTCAACTTTTAACCTATTTTAGATTATATCACCTCTCATATCTTTTACACATTTAAAAAAAAATCAAAAAAATCAACTTTTAACAGTCTTTTCAAAATAGGTGTTCATTTGTATAAACATTGGGTAATGAGTTTTTCTCCTGTTTGGTTCATATTTTTTATAAATTATTTTTAGTATTTTTTTAATATTTTAGTTTTTTTAATAATTTTTTAGATGTAACTAATCAATACGCATCTAAAAAATAAAATAAATTAGATTAAAAAATAAATGGTAGGGACTCTTGACCAAGAAATCTATCAAATCAAATGTCTCACTTGAATGTAGGATTATCCCATATGAGACTTACACTTGTGTGAGACATTTGATTGAATTTTTTATCAACTTCTTTAGGAGTGTTGTTGCTAAAATATTAAAAAGAAATACTAAAAATATGTGAAAATTTGGGAAAAAAAAAATCTTGCGTACATTTTTGTTTGAATTTTCTTTTCTTTTGAGTGATTTTCTCTCTTTCTCCATATTTTAGTTAATTTCTTCTACATGCATATAATTCCAAATTTATCCTAAGATGGAGAATGAATTTTTTAAAACAATTTTTAATAATTTTGGGTAGTTATACTCTCCCCACTAATTGCGTCGTCCCATACACTTCCAGTGACTTCTTCACTTCAAGATTCCAGGAAAATAGATTCCGAGAAAAGATAGTGAGGTTCATGGTGTTGTAGAAGACTGGGTTGCGAATGTGAATTTAGGGTTTCTGGTGTTTGGGTGGCGAAGAGTTTTTGCGGTGGAATAGGGTGATTATAGTACAAAGCATAATGTTGTTATTGAAGAGTTATTGGCTGAAAGTGTCGTAGGTTCCTCTGGTTTTCAAAGATCAAGGTGTGGTTTGGTGGTCTCTGCAATTTTCTCCATGGCTTAAACCTTCAATCACCATACTTTGGCCTTGGAAGGTACATCTTTTTCTCTTTCTTTTTCCTTTTTCACTCCAATTGGGATTTTTTCCTTATAAAACTTTTGTTGGTGCAACTGTTGTCATGAATGGGAGCATATTAGATGTTAATGCCAATTTCATATCACCTGGTCGTTTGTACTTAAAAAACTGTAATTAGTGAATGAAAGCACTTTTTTTTTTAATTTTAATTTATTAACTTTATGTGCAACAGTTTCTTATGCCCATGTTCAATATATTGAGATTACGCCAGCCTTAAGCACAACTTGAGCAACCCTTCAATCCAGTCAAATCTGTTTGAGTTGCTCCCCTAGTTAAAAATTATTAGCTATCTTAATTTAAACCAAAATAATAATTGAATTGCTAAAAGTGCATGCGAAAAAATTGGCCATACAAATCAATCAGTTTTTTTGTCAATGTAACAAGATTTCATTCCCCAGTGTTAAATTTTTGTTTCCTTAATTGTCAGTGGCTTGAAAGTGCATCTATAACCTAGTCTAGAACTCTAAAGAATTGAAAATTTAGATCATAAAAATGAGTACATGAGATCATATCTCAATATTTCACCAAAATTAAAATGGAAAAAATTGTAACACAAGGTTGGAAAAAGCTTGTATAAAGTTGATAAAAAGAGACTAAGGGTTGACCTTGTTTGGAAATCTGTGTGTGTGTGTGTGTGTGTACAAGTTCGGCCATTTTGAAAGTTCAACATGTGTCAACTTCAAACTTCTTATTTCCAGCCACATTCCTTGAGAAATATCCCACCAACTTCAACTTGGAAGTCATGGCTAACGGATAAATTACATAGTTGCAATCCTTGACGGGTTGCATAGCCTTGATGGGCAAAAGACTTTGTGTGACTTAGAAGTGTATAAGAATACATTTCCTCTTACCATCAACTATCCAACTTATTCCTTCCTTTAGATCTCTGATTCCTACCTGCAAATAGAAAATGTGTTGGCTAATATGGCTTGTTTTCTCAAGTTGTTGCATGTTCGTCATGGTCTTCTTCTACTTCTGCGCACCATACGTGCCTTGAGGACTAGAAATTCTCACTCCTCCAATTTAAGAAAACTTTTACCATAACTACTGGTCTTACCTTCCCAGAGTGTGAATCTTATTCTCATCCTAAAATGGTGTTCTGGAATGAGAGCACTGATTGCTGCTCATGGGATGGGGTCACCTACGACTAGTTGAATGGTCATGTAATTGGGCTTGACCTCAGTTACAGCAAGCTTCAGGGAACCATTCAAGGCGACAGCAGCCTCTTCCATCTTCGTTAACTCTAGAGGCTCAATCTTTCCTTCAATGACTTCAGCTTCTCTAAAATTTTATCCAGGTTTGGCTCATTCATGAGTTTGACCCACCTCAACCTCTCTAACTCTTTATTTCCAAGCCCAATTCCTTCAAAAACTTGTCGTCTATCTAAATTGATTTCCTTTGATATGTCTAATTATAATTCTCAGTGGAGACTTGAACAACACACTTTCAATATGGTCATTTGGAACCTAACCCAATTAAAGAAACTACACCTTGATTGGGTTGATATCTCTTCACCTTTACCTCATGCTTTGTTAACTTCTTTAACATCTCTTAGTCTTGGTTTTTGTCAACTGCATGGGAAATTCCCAGAAAACATTTTCCACCTTCCAAACCTACGGAAGCTCATTGTACAGTATAATGGGGACCTCACGGGTAAATTTCCAAACTTTAATGTGAATATTTCCCTTCAGTTTCTTGATCTCTCATGGACAATTTTTTCTGGCCAATTACCTGATTCAATCGACAATCTTAAAGCCTTGAAAAGTTTTTACGTCTCAAGCTCTAACTTTTCGAGGTCCATTCCAACTTCTTTTTGGAAACCTTACAAAAATCATTGGTATAGACTTTTCATATAACGCTTTTAGCGGTCTAATCCCCCCATCAATTTCGAATCTTGCAAAGCTTATTTACTTGGATCTTTCCGCTAACATTTTTTTGGACAAATACAAAATTCCATTGGCAACATGAACCAACTTTATTTCTTGGACCTTTCTGGAAATTAGTTAACAAGTCCTATTTCTATGTATGCAGTTGGACTTTCAAATCTAACTTTTCTTGAATTGAGTAATAAATGGGACATTACCATCTTGGTTGTTTGCTCAACCTTCATTGGTTTCTATAAACACTAAGCTGCAGGGACCAATTCCAAGATCAATTGATGAACTTGCGAACTTGACATACTTGGAGCTTTCATCAAATAACTTAAGTGGTGTAATAGAGCTAGATAAGCTTTTAAAGCTAAAATATATGTCCCCGCTTGATCTTTCATATAATGGTCTGTCATTGAGCATCAACAATAGTCTCAACTCTACTACCTTTCCTAGCCTTGAGATTATAGGATTAGGTTCTTGCAACTTAACTGAATTCCCAAACTTGTTGAGAGAACAGATTGGATTGTTTTCTCTAGACCTTTAAAATAACAAAATTAATAGTGAAGTTCCAAAATGGGTAGTGGATGTGGGGAAATTTTCATTGACTCGTTTAGATCTTTCTCATAATTTTCTTTCTGCGGGTTTAGAGCAATTTCCTTGGCTGGCACTACAATATGTTGACATGCACGACAATTTACTCCATGGACCACTCCCTGTTCCACCTATCACCACAACTTTTTTCCTCATCTCAGGTAATAAATTTACAAGAGAAATCCCTCCATTGATTTGTGGTCCGAGGTTGCTTAAAGTTCTTAATTTGTCTAATAACAGTTTGAGTGGTATGATTCCACAATGTTTGGGAAACTTAAGCAATGGTCTCTCAGTGTTGAATTTACGAATGAATAACCTTCATGGTACCTTTACTGCAATATTTATGAAAGGCAACGCATTAAGGAATCTTACCTTGAATGACAACCAAGTTGATGGACAAGTTTCGTGATCTTTGCTCAATTGTGAACGCTTGGAAGTTCTAGATCTTGGAATAAACAAAATATGATACATTCCCCTACTGGTTGGAAACTCTTCCAGAGTTGCAGGTTCTTGTCTTGAAATTTAAGACAAAGAGCAAACTTCGTTTCCCTAAGTTAAGGATTATCGACATATCTTACAATGAGTTTACTAGCCTTTTGCCAACCAATTATATCTCACGATTTGAAGCTATGATGAATGTGGATGAACACGAATTGAAATTGAAATTGAAATACATGGGTGACATGTATTATAAGGATTACGTGGTGGTGATTGTAAAACGACATGAGATTAAATATTCAAGAATCTTAACAGTCATCTCAATCATTGATTTATCAAGCAACAAATTTATAGAAGAGATTCCGAAATCCGTTGGGAGGCTTAATTCACTTCGGGGTCTTAACTTATCTCATAACAACCTTAAAGGCCAGATCCCAACTTCACTTGGAAACTTGAGCAACCTTGGATCATTGGACCTTTCCTCAAATCAGCTTGTTGGGGAGATTCCTCAGCAACTGACAAGTTTGATGTTTCTTGCAATGCTAAACCTTTCATATAACCAACTAGTGGGACAAATTCCTCAAGGGAGACAGTTTAATACATTTTGAAAAGATTCATACAATGGGAACTGGGATTTATGTGGATTCTCCTTATCAAAGAAATATAAAGAACTACAACCACTGTCACGTCTGCCAATGCTCCACCAAGATGAGAATTCAGACAGGTCAAGCAGATTTAGTTGGAAAGTTGTAATGATGGGGTATGGATGCGGATTTGTGTTTGGAATGGTTATGGGATATCTTATGTTCATAACTTGAAAACCAAAATGGCTTATGAAAACTGTTGAAGGAAAATAATATAAGAAGGTGAAAAGGTGCAAGAAGGGTGCCTACTGATGCAACGAAAGAAGAAATCCACAAAAACAAATGGCGTCATTTAGGTAAGTAATTTATTTTCGAAGCAGTACTTTGTTGGATTATCTTTTATGGTTTCTATGTATATGCTATATTTGAGTTACTGATGTTTTATTTCAATACTAGATCTATTCCATTAAGTAGCACAATAAAGTAATGGTATCCAGTTGAAGGGGTGTCTCACCTAGCTGCTACATTTAAATGTGTGCATCCAGATAGCAGCTATACAAGATCTGTAACAACCCATATTCATGTCTTGGTCATGTTCATGTGCATTTACATAACTTTGTCTTGTTAAGTTTGCATTCATGAATCTTGTCTTGTTTTGCTTAAGTGTTGTTTGCATGCTTTGTTCCTTCCCTGTCATGCCAAGCCTAGGTCATGCCTTTGAACCTCTTACACCTAGGACCATCTTAGAACCACTTTGGTGACCTCTACCATCACCTAGGTGTATTAGCCGAGATGTTATCATCTAAGCGTCCGAGATCCTTGATCCTTGCACCTAGTGATCTTGTTCCAGGACTGGAATGACCTAGACCGAGGTGTGGCACATCTAGGCCGAGGTGTGGCACAGCTAGGTCAAGTATTATCCTTCCTAGCCGAGGTCATTGGAACCTTACTTGCCGAAGCCTATGTCCTAAGCCGAGATCATTACCTGCTGGAGTGCCCATGCCACCTTGCTTGTCATACACACTTTGTCATACACTTGTCTTGTCTTTCTATCACCTTTTGAGGAGAACCAATCCGGTAGTGCCACATGTCCCAGCAGAGAGTTAAATCAGCCGATAGAGAGAGAAAACCTATCATTTCTATATCTTTGTTCTAGGTAGAGAGAGAAGCTCTAGGAAGAGGAAGAGGAGTTCTTGAGAGAGGAATAGATTTCCATGCTTGATCCCTAGAGATCGAACCGTTAGATCCGTGTTTTAAGGTTAGATTCGTGATCTACTCTTGTTATTCTTTATGTTGATCTAATCGCATTGCATGATCTACCATGTTTCATGAACCATGCATTGCTTTGAAGTTCGGTTTTAGAAAGAGAAAATGATATTCATGTGTTCTTCAAGAAAACCATGTTTTGATCCAAAAGTTTGTATCAAGATGCATGTTTTCGTGTTTGTTTTCATATGATCTTCAAGTATGGGTACCAAGGTCCATGTTTTCGAACTCATAGCATGAAAACCTCAGATTTTGTAATAACAAGTTATGATTTTTAACATTCATGTTCTTCATGTCCTTCAAGGAGAAAACCCAGAATTCCAGACCTCATTTCCCTAGGTGTGATCACCGAGACCACTCTTGCCCAGATCCCACACATAGGCCAAGCATCGTATCTCACCTTGGCCTACTTTACATGATCACTGGCACCTTAGTCTATCTTGCATGCACACCTAGGCTAACCACTGCATCACCTAGGCCGAGATGTTCATCATCTAGGCCGACCATGGTACACCCTTGCCAGCATCTTGTAACACCTCGGCAGAGAGCTGCACACCGAGGCCTAGGTAACCACACATCGGCCAAGAGGTGTGGGACCTCGGCCAAGACCTCCTGAGTTCACCCAGCTAGGTCGTTTTAGCCTAGATCATCTCTGTGCATCCATTCCAGGACCTAGTTGGTACCCAGCATGTTTTCCCTAGAAGAATCCAGCATGTTTTCCCTAGATCACTTGCATTCATGTAAAGCTTGTTTTAAGAATGCATTTCATATCCATCTTTGAGCATCTCTTCTTGTCTTCTTGAAGTGCATTTAGTAGACTTTGCCATATATTTGTAGGTCTTGGATCCTTGCTTTAACCCCGACGTCTGGAGAACTATGTGAGTGGTATTTTTAATAAAGCTATGTTATCATGTTTTGATAAGCTTTGCTTTGCCTTGTTTTGAAAAGTATTTGATCAAGCATGAATGATTATCACTATTTTGTATATCAAGCATTATCTTGTTTTGATGACATTCTTGGAAAAGTCCTTAGTGCCAGGGGACTATAATGCAACTGTATCCTTATTTTGCCACCGACGGTCTATGAACGGGTGGGTTTGTTTTGTCAAGAATGTCATCACCCCATGTATTATGCAGATGTTATTAAACATCCCAAGAAGATTTGAAAGACCAAGATTTGATTGATGAACTTGATTCATCCCATGTTTTGAACAAGCTATGATATATGTATTGTTTTGACAAGGACCTCGGGAATCATTCATTTAACCCCTTTATTACTTATATCATTCACTGAGTATCCAAGCTCACCCTCTCCTTATATATATGTAGGTAACAAGCATAAAGGCGGTGACGCCGAGATGTGTTATTTGCAAGATGATGTTTGATCCATGTTATGTCGGCAATATTTATGTCGGCAATCTTGAAGATTATGCTTCTTAGTTGTATTTCATGTATTTTGTATATGTCGGCTTGAGAAGCCTTTTGATCAAGATGTAACATGTACTTTATTTTATTTGTATTCAAGTTGTAAAGCTATGTAAAGATGTATGTCATTTCATTTGACTTATGCATAGCTCTAATGGACTAATTAGATTTGTATATATTACTTCCGCACATGTTAGCCCTATATGTAATACTCTGATTGTGTGTGAATTTTGAAAGTTAGCCTTCGGTAATCTCAGATTACTGGCCATCATGGCACCATTCTATTAGGGGCGGAATGAGGTCATGACAAGATCACTTCAAAAGCTTTACCCTTGTTGCTATATTGAATCCTAAAGCTTCGTGTGGTTTTCTTAAAGCACAAGTTAAATAAGAGTTGCATGTCATGACTCTTTGTTGTTTCTTTTCTCGCATCATGTACTACCTTTATAGATTTACACTTTTGTATGTAGTTTCTTTTAAATTGGATTTCAGCCACAGAAGACTAGGCATTGCCAAGTTTTTAACTTTGAAATGCAATCTTACAAGTTACAACTCAAGTCATTCCTCTTGGTACATTCTTAATCATTTTGAATGACAGAAATGTTGGGTTCTACATAGAGAATTCACATTGAAAATAATGTTATATGTTATTGATTTAACAGTGTTTTTATGTAGCACTTGAGCCCTGTGTTGGCTTGGAAAGATGTAAGCCCGTAGGGCATTTACTTGATGTTACGTGTAATGCTTTTCAATAAGAATACTCTGATGAATGGTATAATGGTTGGTTTTCTTTTATTAATGCATGTTAATGTTATATATATTATGGGTTTATTTTGAGGGCGTTACATTTTACCAGTTGCTATTGTAGTATAGGTGAGCTTCCTACTTGTTGTCTCCTCCACATCTTTCTATCAATAAACAGAATTGTTGATAATTTGTTTTTTTCATCTTCAATGGCAATTGGGGGATCAAACTGGAGATATTTATTAGCACTTGTTTCTATATAAGTGTGACTTTTTTGGGAATTTTGTGATTATAGTAAGACAATGGTAATTTTGAGAGTTTTCATTAAAAAAGTTACTCGTAGGCAAGAAAATTGTTGGGATTGTAAAGCTATTGTACATCTCTTAATCGATTGTTTTGCTATTGTTTGTATCTGTGGTTTATTCCACAACAAAACAACCATGGAAATAACTGTCGAGGAAAACTTCACACACACAGTTGGGCATTCTAAGAAGTTAATCTGTCTTTTTATATTGTTGCAGTTTCTCTGTCAACTCTCCCAAATACAATGGACATACTGCTATGAGCATTAAAGCCTTGTTTGGCCTTGTGTAAAATAGCTATTTTTTGGCTATTTGAGCAAAAATCAAATAGCCTATTTGACAATGGCTTATTTAGCTGATAAAAAGTAAGAAAGAAAACAATTTACCACAACTAAAAAATTTCTAACTCTCCCACCACAACACAAAATCTTCTCATGTGAAAAATAAGATGCTCATTTTCACATTCAAAACAATTTCCCACAACTAAAAAATTTCTAACTCTCCCACCACGATACAAAATCTTCTCATGTGAAGAGTAGAATGCTCATTTTCACAATCAAAAGCCAAAAAAATTGGTTAGCTGATGTTTCAATACAAGTTTTTTCTTTTCACTAAGCTCAAAATTTAGTTTTTGATTTGGTGCCAAACATGATAAAATGAGATGGCAAATTGTATTGATTTTTCTTGAGATTTAGTGAAAATATAACAAGTTCTATAATTTGATATAATAATAATGTTAAATGGACTGATACTAATGTAGATGATGCAAAATCAGTAACATAATCGTTTTAAATATAAAAAAATAATAACATCATTTTCCATTCATATGATCAATGAATTATTGATGAAAAATTAAGAGTTAATTACCGAAAATTCTTATTAACAAATGTTATGGTAGCTCAGGTCTTATCTAAGAATTTTTGAATCAATAAGTCATCTTTAGTAAAACTGACAATATTATCAGTTTTTCTCAATTTTTAAAACTAAGAACATTATCAATTTTGCATAGTAATATTGCGGATAATTGTTTCACTAATTGATGAAAAAAAAAACAGAGCATAAGATTAAACATTTTTGTCCTTCTACTTTTGGTTTGATTCAACTATTCAATAAAAACGAGAACATTATTAGTTTTTTCCAATTTTAAAATTGAGAACATTATCAGTTTTTTCATTTTAATTTTTTTTTTTTTTTTTTTTTTGCACATCAATGTTCCATCATCATGCTCCTTTATGGACACAATTTTTAGTTTTACACAAAAAATAATTTAGTTTTTTCAATTTTTTCA